GTGATAGATTATATCCAATCACTACTTGATAATCTTTCTCGTATTGCATTACATACGTCAGCATGAAGTCCCAGAAGTCCCCTAGACCGTATCTTACTAAATTCTTTTACTGAACAGATGCCAACGTGACACCTGTCAATCGATATTCTGCTTTCGCTAATCTTTTCATCGTCAAATAAATGATGTTATTTCGTTTAAACGAAATAATAAATAAATATGTTTACAATTGCGCCTTAGGGGCTCCGTACATATCTGTGATATCAGTATATATTTTAATCTTAAACAAATAATAACTGTGATATTTAGCATTTGATTTTGTATTATTTAATATTGTATTGTATTGTGTTGTATTATTTAATATTGTATTGTATTGTATTATTTAATATTGTATTGTATTGTGTTGTATATTTATTTTGATGAATAATTATTTACAAGATAAAGAAAAAAGAAGCGAGTTGGATTGTCGTCTGCTAGGTGATTAGGTGCCGTGAGATCGAATCCTTCTCAAGGTAAGAACAATTTTGATGCCTGTGTCTGTGCTTCTTAGAGTCGGCTTTCACCCCCTAATACCCAAACTTCAGGTTATTGCCAAAAACAAAAAAAGAGATAGGTCTATACCATGATAAACATGTTTTTTTTATTATTCACAGATTTTTTCTGCAACGATATGATAGCTACTGTAAGTGTCTTTCATATCACCTGGAATCTTGTCCAAGGTAACGTTAAATAAATAACAGGAAATAGCCAAAATTTTTACAACGCCAACCGTTTTACAGTCACTCATCTCGTTGCACTTTTCAATACATTGTTCTACATCTCCAAAAAACTTCACGAAGATGACTGGTGTTTCGTAAAGTTTACATCCACCCCTAGTCGTGATAGCAATAGAACATCTGGTGTCGAGAGCACAGTTTTCATCACACTTCAGATCAGATTCTCCTCTTTCTTCGTAGTACAAGGGCGATAAACCTGTTACATTTGAATACTTGTATCGACATTCTGTAAAATAAAATTAATGGAGTTTTACGTCCTGCTTTTCTGCACCATGTAGACTAATAATTGAAGTGGGCGTATGTTACCTTGCCTGGCAAGCTATCTTAAAATTTTGTCATTGATATTTTGGAAAGTGGGTACAAGTACAAAATTTCCCTTATTGCACACTGCCAGCTGTCAGAAATGATAAAACAGTCATTAGTGATTAAAGTATGAATTTTCTCATATTAAAGAAATTTTAATAGTTTGAATTCACTGATATATATATTTACTGCCAGTTATTTATGCTGAGAAATTCCAAATTTTTTAAAATCAATATCAATAACCCAAATACATCAAATTATCTCATCAATATACAAGATCATACCATGTTTCACTAAAATCACTTGAAAACTGTAGTCTCTATTGTATTCACAAACAAATTTTGACGCATGTTTCCTAAGTCAAGGGCAATAACTCAAAAACCAT